AAAAAAAAAAAAAAAAAAAAAGGAAAAAAGATGATCAATAGACCCACCTTCATCTGCCATCTTCACACGATTCGCAGCCTTCGTTCACAACGTCCTTCTCCTCTCCTTCGCCACACTCCTTTGTCGTCACGACTTCTCGTCTCTCTCTCTCTCTCTCTCTCTCTCTCTCTCTCTCTCTCGGGGCTTTGGCAAGATTTGCCACATTGTCCGGGAGTCAGTGGAGAGCTCCGCTCTCTAATCTGTACCCCGGACTGGGTCGGTTTCTGAGTTTTGAATAGGTGAGACAGTAGATATGCCCGTCATACCTGGACGGGTTCGTTTCTCTATTCGTTTCCTTTATTTCGTTTTCTTTCTTCGTCCCTTTTCTTTTTTCTTTTTTCTTTTTTCCTTTTTCTTTTTCCTTTATCTTTTTATTTTCTTTTTTCTTTTTTTTTTTTTCTTTTTTTCTTTTTTCGTTTTATTTTCGTTTCCCTTTAATTTAGCATGTACTTTAGCTCGGCTCTCCGGCCCTACGTATTTCTCTCTTTTCTTCTCTTATTTTCCTCTTCCTTTTCGGTTTTTCCCCTTTTTTCATTTTTTCATTTTTCTCTCTTTTCCTCCTTTTTCATTTCCCTTCCATTAGTACGGACGTTTGTGACCCCTGTTTGCCCATATAAACGCAGGACGGTTCAACCACAAAAAAGAGGGGACCTGGTACCGTCTCCGGGAGAGCATGGGTAACCGTGTACCGTTTATCGGACTTGTAGAAGAGGCGGATGAGCAAACCGACCGGGAAGTTGATATTGATCGAAGGTAAGCGCAGATTCTGCGTTTTTGGCTTGCTTTTTTTGGTAACAGGAGACACGACTCTGCCGAAGTGCGCTAACTTCGCGCCTCTGCAGACGATGCGAGAAATCAGGTTCCAATTTGGCAAAGAAGAGGAAGGGGATGGCGATGAGGGAAGAGAGAAAAATGGGAGAGGAAGGAGCAGAGACCGGGTATGGAGGGAGGGGTAGGGACAGAGACGAACAAGGGAAGAATGGTTAGTGTGTGCGCCAGAGTGTTTTGGACGAGGAACTGGTTAGGCGGATAGTGAAGAAGGTAGCCGAGGTAGGATAGGTAGGCAGAGCTTCTCACTGATAACCTCGGGTTTTCGAGACTAAGATCCAGACTGAAGAATAGTATTTAAAGATGAGAGGGAGAGAAGGATCTATCTCTCCGCTGCATGATAGATGCANACCTCGGGTTTTCGAGACTAAGATCCAGACTGAAGAATAGTATTTAAAGATGAGAGGGAGAGAAGGATCTATCTCTCCGCTGCATGATAGATGCAGGTTCCTAGCCCCCTGATGAGACTGTTGAGACACGCCGACAACGAAACTCGTCGGGGCAGTGCATGCCAGAAGGAGTGAGTTTTTTCGAGTTGAACATGATGAGTATGAGCGGAGTTTTCTGACTCGTGTTTGTACTAAGGTGTGCTATGGACTATGGGTGCAAGCAAGTTGATTTGTGCACTCTATCTTAACACTCCTCTTTCTTGAATCTCCTATAGCGTGGTAACCGGCGTATTGGATACGTGATCGGTGGCTATGGAGGGTACTCGGAAGTTGTACTCGGAAGGTTTACGATCCATCACCAACGAAGTTTTTGCGACTTCAAGAGATTATCGACCGGCTTCGTTCTTTTCGGCGTTCGGCCCGAAGTGGTCGGGTCGGCTTGCACGTGCGATGCACGGGACTAAGTCGACGACGAGCCCAGGTGGCAAGGTAGGAACGAACCATGAAGTAGACGATGAGCGGGGTCACTGTTGAGCATCCAGATGAGATACGCTGACAACGGCGTGATTGTCCGTAGTACTGGGATGAAAGCATTCTGGAAGGTCTTGAGAAAGGTCGGATATATCACGATCGGGTGTGTGGGTAGTTACTTGGTGATTCAAGGCGTAAAAGGTAGGATTAAGGGAACTCGTTGGATACTTAGTGTGCACATCTATGTTACGACGGTAGATTTGAGAAGCTACTAGCCTAAGGAGGGATGTCTACGAGAAACTTTAGGGATTTAGAATTCGAGAGACAGTTTTTAGAGTTTCAAAAGATTATTGAAGAAACGTTAGTACCGTCCTTTTTTGTAGCATTGCACTTCCAGGATTCTGATTCGAGGGAGGAAGTCATTGATCTTTTCGAAGTCGTACTAGGGCGCTTGCATAGTGTGGGTTGTTTGGTTAGGGATAGAAGGTTAAGAAGGAGGAGGCAGGGAAGGAGGAGGCGATAGGAAATGGCAGGACAACAGCAACAATTTGGGGGACCTCCCTTGACGTACGCTAGCGGCGCTCAGCAAACCATAGCGGGAGGAGGTCAGCATAGCGCAGTTATGTGCTACATATGCGGTAAACAAGGGCACTACGCGAGGAACTGCTGGGCTGCCGGCAACGGGCGACCAACGCAGCAGTTCCAACAACAATCCATCCAACAGCCGGTGGATGATGAGACTGCGAAGATGAAAGCATACTTCAGGAAAAAGATTCAGAAGCAGAAGGTTGAAGAAGAAAGGAGAGAAAGGATAGAGGAGGGAAAGCGGAGGGAGGAAGAGGATAGGAGAGAAGCAGATAGGCTTAGGGAAGCGGAGGCAAGGGAAGCGAAGTTAGAAGCGAAGCTGATCAGATTGATGAATCAGCATAATAAATCGGTAAGTGCGGCACGATCTTCAGTGGTGAAGAAGAAGTCCCCGCGGACTAAAGCATGGATGCTGAGGGAGATGAGGAGCTATTTTGACGAATCCGAAGACGACAGCGAGGAGGTAAGAGAGGAAGCCGAACGATTGGTTAACGCTATAGAGAATCGGAAAGGCAAGAGGAGGATGAACGAAGTAGAAGGCAGAGTCTCTGCGGCCAGAATGAGGTCAACCAGGAATGCTCCGATTGACGTGGATGATCTACCAGACGAGGAGAAAACACCTGTACGGAAGAGAGGTGAAGCTACCGGAGGAGACTTCCTTGAGTTAGCCCTAGAAATGCATGAGAAGCTTTCTGCGAAGAAAGTTACAGAACTGAGGAAAATCTGCAATGAAGAAGGTGTCGAATGGACCAGAAAGGAGGTTGCTATGAATGAGCTTGTGAGGTGTAGGACGTGCCTGGCCTACGGAGAGGGAATGAGGACATCGTCTCTATCCGGGAGGTAGAGATTTCCGGAATGGAGGAACTCGAGGAATTCGCTAGGCTGATGGCTGATGAGGATAGAGGCAGAGGCCCACATCAGAATGCTTTGAACGATGCATATGAAGATTGGTTAGCCAGGCAGTTCTTACTAGCCGTGATTAGAGGGTGCTGCCCATGGGCAAGGAAGTGGGTTGGAGTGTGCACATTGGATATAGAGGATTTGTCGACCCGAGATTCCGGAGTGTGTGTTTTGGTTAGCCCCTGGTGTAGACATTTTTATATTGGATGTACTACTCGGAGCTTTCTTTTGAGGTGGTCGGAGCACGTCAAGTTTGCTGTTTCAGGGAAGCTTGGAAACTCTCCCAAGCTACATTCATGGCTGAAGCTATTTGGGTGGAAGAGATACTTAATTATGCCGCTCGTATCAAGGGCTGGTGAACCAACATCTGTGGAGAAAGCGTTGATTAGAGGAAAGGACGGAGGGAAAGAGGTAAGCGAAAAGCATATGAATGGCAGGGAAAGGTAATTTTATTCAACGGGGCGGCTTCGCTGATAAACCTGTTCAGACAGCAACCGAAACCGCGACTTATTGTTTCGAATGGAGGATTGATTTGGGCCGACAAGTGGAGGAATATCAAGGGAAAAGTAGGTGAGTGCATCGTACGGGTTAATGGGAGGAATAGACTCTTCAGGGACTGCAGAAGAGAGTTGGAAGATGAAGGAAGATTTAAGGTCGTTAGGGTCAGGATAGTATCCTCCAATGTCGAACGACGGAAGAATGTACCCAAGGATCTACTGAATCAGCCATAGGATAATGAGAGCAGTAAGGAAGGTGTTCGGAGCGGAGATACGGAGGCGACCGATTGTCAAGATTCCCTTTTCGACAAAGATAGACAGGAGGAGAGTGAGGGAGGTCGTAGCGTTGACAATAGGGCAGGTCATTACTGATCCGCCAATGAGAAGGTATGTAGCTCAGCGAATTCGGGTCGTTTTTAAGAAAAGCTTGACAGTGGGACAAATAGTACACAGTCAGAGGCTATGTGCCGGAGCTGACAAGGTTTTTTGCACATGCTCGGATTTGCCATGGCCCAGGGCACAAGGACATATCAAGGCGAGACTGGACGAACTTCCTGCAGTTCCGGACTTTGTCAAAAACTCGCGGGACGTCACGAGTGGGGAAGAAGTTACCCTTCGAGTACTGAGGAAGAGCATTACGGATGCAGTAAGTCCGTGGAGTAAGCGGAAGCAGATTCTACAGCAGGATCAGGTGCTGCAGAACTGCTACACTCACCAGCCATGGAGACAATGTCGTGCGATGGGAGGGAATCAGGTAAGGGAATGGGCGCAAACACTGGTGGGCTTGGTAGCGGTTGCGATTGATCGGAACCCGGGGGGCACCTTAGTTCTGTGTCCAGTTCTATACCTACATGCGTGTAAAATGACGTTTAACTGGAACGATAGCTTCGTACTGGAACCTAGGACCGAGGTACATATCATCGAAGATATGAAGAGAAGTTATGACCGTGCCGGTCTGGGGAGGATAGCGATGTGGGGAAAAGGAGGAAGGATTGGACAGGCCTATGTGTTACCAAAGGACAAAGATATTGGAAGGTGGAGACTGATATCCCCCTCAAGCAACGATCCAGCTAGATTGACAGGGTCAAGATTAGGAAGGGCGCTGCGATTCCAGAGCGGTGGATATGCTGAGGGAGAAGTGCGGAGAATTCGAGAGAGATCTTTCAGAATGTGAATTCGCGTATGCCAGGAGCTACGACGTAAAGGATATGTTTGCTAGGCTGTCTCATGATGCGGTGTTGAACTCTGTTCTATGGATGATTGAATTGTATCGAAGGAGGAATCTGGTAGGGGTTAGGGCAAGTCGGAGAGGAAGGGTATGCATGATGGCGAGGAACCGAAGGAGTGAAGATTTTGTGCTGTTAGACTTCGAACTCATGACAAGAGCCATACAGTTTGAGCTGAACAATGCTTTCGTTACAAGCGCCGGTGAGACGCTGAGGCAGGTCTTCAGAATCCCGGTGGAGGAGCTCCAGCCCCGCGCTCGCATGTTTGGTATGTGCTAGATCGGAGGCAATTTTTGTGGAGTCCCTTGGATGAGACAGGAGATGGGTCAGAGGGATGAGGATGATCGATGATGTCGCTATTATTGTTGGACTTCCGGATCGAGAGGAGGAGACAGAATGGACGACCACAGAGATTTTGGGGAAGTTCGAATCGTGCTATGATGAGACCCTCTGTCTGGTGAGAAAGGATGAAGGAGGGAACGCCATGGATTTCCTAGAAGCACGGGTTGTCGTTGAAGTAGCGCCAGTGCACATTCATGTCTTCCCGAGGACAAGGAATCAGCCGTCATTAACCGAGACCGGTCGGGCACGGATCCACTCAATGCAAGACTTTGATTCATTCTCCAAAAAAGCGACGAAGAGAGCTACATTGGTTGCTAGCATGATACGCGCTCACAGGCTCTCGACATCGGATGAAGCAACGCTGACAACCATTTCGGCGATAATGTTTGAAGCACGCCTTCGGGGGTACCCAACGGAGGTCTCTCTCTGGGCTTTGGCAAGATTTGCCAAATTGTCCGGGAGTCAGTGGAGAGCTCCGCTCTCTAATCTGTACCCCGGACTGGGTCGGTTTCTGAGTTTTGAATAGGCGAGACAGTAGATATGCCCGTCATACCTGGACGGGTTCGTTTCTCTACTCGTTTCCTTTATTCCGTTCTCTTTCTTCCTCACTTTTCTTTTATCTTTTATCTTTTTTCCTTTTCCTTTTTCCTTTATCCTTTTATTTTCTTTTCTCTTTTTTCTTTTTTCTTTTTCCTTTTATTTTCGTTTCCCTTTAATTTAGCATGTACTTTAGCTCGGCTCTTCGGCCCTACGTATTTCTCTCTTTTCTTCTCGTATTTTCCTCTTCCTTTTCGGGTTTTCCCCTTTTTTCATTTTTTCATTTTTCTCTCTTTTCCTCCTTTTTCATTTCCCTTCCATTAGTACGGACGTTTGTGACCCCTGTTTGTCCATATAAACGCAGGACGGTTCGACCACAAAAAAGAGGGGACCAGGTGCCGTCTTCGGGAGAGCATGGGTAACCGTGTACCGTTTATCGGACTTGTAGAAGAGGCGGATGAGCAGACCGACCGGGAAGTTGATATTGATCAAAGGTAAGCTCAGATTCCGCGTTTTTGGCTTGCTTTCTTTGGTAACAGGAGACACGACTCTGCCGAAGAGCGCTAACTTCGCGCCTCTGCAGACGACCCGAGAAATCAGGTTACAATTTGGCAAAGAAGAGGAAGGGGATGGCGATGAGGGAAGAGAGAAAAATGGGAGAGGAAGGAGCAGAGACCGGGTATGGAGGGAGAGGTAGGGACAGAGACGAACAAGGGAAGAATGGTAAGTGAGTGCACCAGAGTGTTTTGGACAAGGAACTGGTTAGGCGGGTAGTGAAGAAGGTAGCCGGGGTAGGATAGGTAGGCAGAGCTTCTCACTGATAACCTCGGGTTTTCGAGACTAAGATCCAGACTGAAGAATAGTATTTAAAGATGAGAGGGAGAGAAGGATCTATCTCTCCGCTGCATGATAGATGCANACCTCGGGTTTTCGAGACTAAGATCCAGACTGAAGAATAGTATTTAAAGATGAGAGGGAGAGAAGGATCTATCTCTCCGCTGCATGATAGATGCATTCCTGGTTTCCTAGCCCCCTGATGAGACTGTTGAGACACGCCGACAGTGAAACGCGTCGGGGCAGTGCGTGCCAGAAGGAGTGAGTTCTTTTGAGTTGAACATGATGAGTATGAGCGAAGTTTTCTGACTCGTGTTTGTTCTAAGGTGTGCTATGGACTATGGGTGCAAGCGAGTTGATTTGTGCACTCTATCTTAACACTCCTCTCTCTCTCTCTCTCTCTCTCTCTCTCTCTCTCTCTCTCTCTCTCTCTCTCTCTCTCTCTCTCTCTCTCTCTCTCT